TCTAGGAATATATCCCAAGAAACCAGAAATACCCATCAGAAAGGATATATGCACCCCTATGTTCATAGCAGCACAATTTACAATAGCTAAGATTTAGAAACAGCCTAAGTGCCCATCGGCAGTTGAGCGGATTAGAAAACTGTGGTACGTCTACACAATGGAATACTATGCTGCTGTAAAAAAGGAGTTCTTACAATTTGCAGCAGCATGGATAGAACTGGAGAGCATTATGCTAAGTGAAATAAGCCAGTCAGAGAGAGATAAATATCAAATGATCTCAGTCATTTATGGATAATAAAGAACATTATGAACTGATGAACAAAAAGATAGAGAGGCAGAGAAGCATCGAACACTGTGAAATTACAGCGGGAAGGCTGGGGAGTATTGGAGGGGGATAAGAGATCAATCAAAGGGTATGCATGCATATAAGCATAACCAATGGACACAAGACACTGGGGCAGGGGAGTGGGAGGCAGGTAGGGGAGGCCAGGGGAAGGTCAATGGGGAAATAAAGGAGACATATGTACAAGTAATTTTAAAAAAATTAAAAAGGTCTTGCTTTTTAATAGTCTCAACCTCAGTATAGGGCAATTCCTGGCACATAGGTGCTTAATAAATATTGAGTAAATCAGTGAATATTAATTCGTAAATGAAACGGTGCTTTGCAAGCTCCATCTACTAGTACATGCGGTTGGAGACCAGCATCTTATTCTAAGGTCACAGGCCACTGCTCCAGGGAATCTGCTCCTTCAGGGGCGGGGCGGGACTAGTTCTCAACAATGCCTGGTACTGGCACAAGAACAGACGTGTAGACCAATGAAATCATACAGGCCCGCGGCAGCTGGAGCCCGGGCTGCAGGGCGTGCTCATTACCTGCAACATGAACGAGCGCAAGTGCGTGGAGGAAGCCTACAGCCTGCTCAACGAGTATGGCGACGACCTGTATGGGCCGGAGAAGGTAGGCCTGCGCCTGTGCTACCGCTAGGCTTTCGGAGGAGGAAGGCCGCCCGCCTTCAGACGCATGCGCGGGCCGTGCGCATGCGCGGGAGGGCGTGGCCTCTGACGTTCCGCCCCCTCGCGTGGTCGGGTCGCGGAGCGGGTGGAGTGGGGCGGGAAGTGCTGCTGTCCTGCACTTGCTTCCGGTTGTTAATTGGCGGCCCCTACCTACAGTCTGCTCCCTGCCGCCCAGGCTTGTGTTTCTGGGTTTTTCAGAGACGTTTACTCCTCACGACCGCCTTGTGGGCCCTGTTGAGGAGGACCCGAGGGTTACGTAGGCGATGGAGCTGGCCATGGCCCCAGGAAGTTCGCCGCAGGGTTTGCCACGTGGTGCCGCTGTCTGAGCACCTTGGCTGCAGTAATGTCTGCCCTCGGTAGTAGCTCTGAAATAGTGGGTTTAGTATTCGTGTTAGTTATTTCTCAAATGCATGTAGAAACACATTTTCAAAGTAAGAACTCTTGCACCAGTAGCACTTCAAATGTAATTGCCCCATCGCAGTTTGCAAGTCATATACTTGGCTTAGATCCGGACTAACACGTGTATGGACACACCCAAGAGTTCAATGAAGGGGGCTGGTCCCCGGGGCCTCTGGGGCCGGACACGGCATGTCATTTTATTCTGCTGACTTAGATGACAAAGAATAATGGTAGCACTTTTTAAGGGTGACTAAAAAGTTGCTTATGTCCATAAACTATCTCCTGGTGTAGGGTAAAGGCCCCAAAAATGTGTACACTTACTAGTGCCCGCTTGGCAACTCCATCGATGGGCGGAGGACTGGGCAGGCAGTGCTGTCCTTTCTACACTGGCACCCAGAGCAAGTGCCTAGGATTGTTTCCTGTTCCTCATTAGAACACGAGTAAGCGTTTTCCATTCCACAAGGACATGGTCTCCTCTCACCCAAGGAGAGTGTCATTAGGCACAAAGGTGTCTAGGGGTGGGATGAAGGGCCACCCTGGAATGATTGATCTGGTGAGCATATTTCTCTCTGTCCCTGACTGTTACCGTGCTTTTGGAAACATTTTCAAATGAGAAGCACCACAATCCTCATTTTGGGGAAGTGAGGTCTCAGTATCTTAATGAAAAGGTTTGTCAGTATTGAGCTGTCTGCCACTGGGGGTTTCACATAAGCCGTTTATTACCGCTTTTCACGTGAGCTGTGACGGCATCTCTGCTCATCCGTTTTATGCAAAGTTTACAGACCAGGACCAGCCGCCCTCAGGAGGCGAGGGAGAGGACGACGATGCGGAGGCCGCCTTGAAGAAAGAAGTTGGTGACATTAAAGCGTCTACGGAGATGCGGCTGAGAAGGTTCCAGTCAGTGGAGAGCGGCGCGAACAATGTGGTCTTCATCAGGACACTGGGGATAGGTGTGTCTGGCCACTACGCCTTGCCATGCTCCATCCTGTACTGCCTGGCCACCTCCCTCTCCCAGAACACCAGCTCCCTCACCCAGTTTCACCACCAGGCATATAGAAGGCAGAACGGGGTGGGGGACACAGCCTGGGCTCAGGAGTAGAAACTTGGGTTTGCCACTTCCTTTGCATGTCACTTTAGGTAAAACAAGTACATGATCTGTCTACAAGGGGCAGCCACCACCCAGCTCCAGCCCATCTGGAATGGCTTCAGGCTTTAGGGGAGGTGGTCCTGGTAGGGCCACATCTTCTGATTTTTCAAAAGAAGTTGGAAATCTGGAGAAGTTTCTAGATTTTTAAATGCAGTTAACTAATTTAAAAGTATTGAAAGCACTGAGCAAGCCCCATCAGATTTGTATATTATTAGGATGTGACCTAAGGACTGCCGCTTGACCTTGTGCAGGTCATGGTCTGGGGCTCCTCTAAGGTCTGAGATCTAGATTTGTGTATAAACTTAGCATCTGGATTAATTACATCTTTTTAAGTGATTTGCAGATTCTTGTTTTGTTTTTGTAAAAAACTGCTATTTAATGTTTGTTACTTAGATAGTTGCCATTTTCATAGGAAAACAACAGTGTGGTTTTATCATTGAGTAAGGTATAAAAATGTAGCTTCGCTGTCTTCGTGAACAGTTGTTTTTGGTAAAAGTAATGCTGAAGAGTTAAAATACTAGATATGGTATTGATACATAGTAGGCATTGAAGAAATACTAGTTGGAAAGCATGGTTGGTTAGACTTACTTAAAATTCATTATGATCACTTCTTATACTCTATTGTCAATTTATGTCACTGACAATGAAAATTCATTTTAGAGAGTTAGAAGAGGCTTTAAAATGTCTGAAAACTTAGATTCTCAACTTGTCTGTTCCGTGCTGCTTTTTCCCTTTAGAACCTGAGAAACTGGTACATCATATTCTCCAGGATATGTACAAAACCAAGAAGAAGAAGACCCGGGTTATTCTACGAATGTTACCCATCTCAGGCACATGCAAGGCTTTCTTAGAAGATATGAAAAAATATGCAGAAACTTTTTTGGAACCCTGGTTTAAAGCTCCAAATAAAGGGACATTTCAGATTGTATATAAAGCTCGAAATAACAGTCATGTGAATAGAGAAGAAGTTATCAAAGAATTGGCAGGTATATTTCTCAGTGATTTTACTTTGGTGTGCAAGGTAATTCTTGTTCTTGTTTGTATGAATTCTTTTTAGGAAACGCCACTCTGTTCTCCAAAGTGATTGCACCAATTTACATTCCCACCAACAGTGCTCCCTTTTCTCCACATTTTCAACAGCTCTTGTTGTTTATTGATTTATTGATGATCCTGACAGGTGTGAGGTGATATCTAATTGTGGTGTGATTTGCATCTCTCTGATGATTAGTGACATTGAGCATCTTTTCATGTGTCTACTGGCATCTGGGTGTAGTATTTGGAGAAGTGTCTACTCAGGTCTTCTGCCCACTTTTTTTTTTAATTTTATTGATTTCAGAGAAGGAAGAGAGAGGTAGAAACATCAATAATGAGAGAGAATCATTGATTGTATGCCTCCTGCACATCCCACGATGGGGATCAAGTCCGAAACCCAGGCATGGGCCGTGACTGGGAATCACTGTGACCATCTAGTTCATAGGTTGACCCTCAACCACTGGCTGGCCCCGCTTTTTAATTGGGTTGTTTGTTTTTCTGGTGTTGAATTGTCTGAGTTCTTTATAAATTTTGATATTAATCCCTTATTGGACATGTCATTGGTGAATTTGCTCTCCCATTCTGTAGATTGTCTCTTTGTTTTGCTGTACAAAAATTTTTTAGTTTACTGTAGTCCCATTTGTTTATTTTTCTTTGTTTCCCTTGTCCAAGAAGAGGTGTCAGAAGAATATCGCTATGAGAAACATCTGAGATGTTACTCCTATGTGTTCTTCTAGGGGTTTTATGGTTTTGAGACTTTAAGTTTTTAATCCATTTTGAGTTTATTCTTACGTATGATGTAAGAAGGTGGCCTAGTTTCTTTGTTTTTTTTTGCACGTATCCATCCAGGTTTTCCAGCACCATTTATTGAATAGACTGTTTTTGTCCCATTGTACTGTTTTTGTCTCTGCTTCCTTTATCAAAGATTAATTGACTGAATAGGGGTGGGTTTATCTCTGGGCTCTCTCTGATTCCATGAACTATGTGTCTGTTTTTATGCCTGTGCCATGCTGTATTGATTTTGATGGCTTTGTAGTATAGTTTGATATTAGGTAGTGTGATACTTCCCACTTTGTCTTCTTTTTTCAAGATATCTGTCGCTGTCCTGGTCCATGTGGCTTGGTTGGAGTGTGGTCCCATGCACCAAAGGGTTGTGGGTTCACTTCCTGGTCAGGGCACATATCCAGGTTGTGGGTTTGATTCCCAGTCAGGGCACATATGGGAGGCAGCCGATCGATGTTTCTTTGTCACATCTATCTTTCTCTCTCTTTC